TGTGTGTGTGTGTGTGTGTGTGTGTGTGTGTGTGTGTGTGTGTCCCTTTAGCTGCCGCTGCTGAGCATGCCCAGTAGCTTGCTGGGGTCCATGCCCTGCTGCTGAGCCATCTTCTGCACATCGAAGCCCATGTGCATGAGGAACTGAATGACGTTCATCTCTTGTCCAGTGAACTGGTCTCGTATGGTCGGGCAGGTGGGGTTGCAGTGTGGCCATGGGCAGCTGTCGATCAAATGCACCGGGCAGCCTTTGGGCGGGGCTTTGTTGTTCCTGTTGTCGTGGAGGCTCCGGTCCCAACAGTGCAGTGCTCGGGGCAAGGAGGTACCTTTAACCTGCACGTCAATCCAGTAACTAGAAGACAACACATGGGGGCAGTGTCAGCTCACATGTAGAACAGCCTGAGCTCACGGTTTCAAATTCCTTCTGTCAGTAACACACTAGAAAGGGAGGTGAGAACAATACATCATACTCACTTCCTGGTGATAACTTCATGAGATAGGCATGCTGGAGCAAACATAGCCCTGAAAAAGAAAAGAAAAAAATCAATCCGAACCCATGCTTTAGACATAATTTAGATTTTCCAAATAAAATGCAGAAACTTACGGGACATCTTTGAGAGTGTTTCTCAGCTCTATGCCCAGATTTTGGATGTAGCGCCACTGGCCTTCCTGCACAGGTTGTCCAGTTAGCTGGATGTTGTCCACTGTCAGCTGGGCCTCATCAAAGAGCCACTGGACCACAAACACAGGGCCTGAACAGGGCAAACAGGAGGTTAATATAACACTAGACTTGGACCTTGCTGTGGATACATACATTCATACATTCATACATTCATACATACATACATACATACATACATACATACATACATACATACATACATACATACGTAGTAGAGAATAAGACTCACTTTTTATTGACGGGAATACTCTGTATCCAAAGAAACAGTTCCACTCTTCTCCTTGATGTGTCTGCTTGCACCTCTCTGGCACCACTCCTCCCCAGTACCTGACCAGGAAGGTCAAAAGTACAGATGAGACATGGTGTCTGTACAATACACCTGATGATCACATTGACTCAAACACTACTATGACTATTTTGGTGACTAGTGCTACCATCTTACAAAATCTTGACTTCTAATATTTTATGATAACAGTAATTGTCTCACTTACTTTATGCCTCTTTTGATGGTCTCAGTGGGTGAACAGTTGACAGCGTCCACACAGTCTGTGCAGTGGTACTGTTTGTTGTCCAGGAACCAGCCAGAATCCGACAGACCTCGCACTTGTATCCCAGTGTGCCCTAGTCCCTCCAGTAGCTCCGCCACACGGTCTACGTTCAGCAGGACCCCAGTGCCACCCGCGCTGCACATAGAAACATGACTTTTTCACACTGGTAGCTACACAGGAATGAGATGTGGAAGGGTGCTCACATGTGTACACACCTGCTCCCTGCTAAGAGGAGGACCTTTGCGTTGTCCAGACCTTTGTTCAGCAGGTCCTTCACCACCTCCTGGATAATCAGTGAGCCCATGAAGGCATAGCCACCTTTATAAAAGACAAAGAAAGTAGCACTGTAAATCAGCACTATAGATATGTACAGTATGTTATAATTTTTGATCTTTCAGTCATTTCTTACTTTGCTCAGTTTTTGCCGTAGCGCCACTCCACACGTCGCTGGAGCAGTATGGGATGAACCTGCAAAACCAATGTAAAGGTTAAATTTACCACCTATGATTAAAAGGCTGAGTGTCACTAAGCACAAAAACAAGAGTCAACTTACACCATGTTGGCATTCCACCAGTGAGGGTTTTCCTCCGGCAGTGGAGACAGGATCCCCGTGCCTGCAGAAACAGATCATCATTAACCGTCCTGGCACTCCCAGACAACATCCTCTTCTTCCTCATCATCATTACCACATTGATTACAGTTATTACACTGCAATGAGAGAGGGAGGCATCTCTGTTCCGACAGCAGTGGGCGCCAGGTGGCAGAGTGTTCGTCTCAAAAACGCTGAAGATGAGCACTGATCCTTTTAAATTCTGAGACACAGTGGGATCTAAGAGCACTTTTTTTCACTGTGTGAGAGGGTCAGACCACAGTGTCACACAGCAGTTTGAATAGTTAAACATTCATGACTTGTTGAGGCTGACCTGTTTTAGTTTGGGGCCACTTGGATGAGCTCATCAATCTCCTCATGGTCTCGTATCGACTGTCGCAGTTCTCCTTGTTGAAGCAGTACCAGCCACCTGGACAAAAACACAGCATGTTTAATTTTTCACACAAATCAACCACAGTCATTAATGATCATGAATTTTAGGATGAAATGAAATTGGTAAGATGCATCGTTAATACTGACCCTCTAAGAATATCAACCACCGTCTGCTGCCTCGCGATTCTTTCAGATAGTACCTACAAGACACCCAAAAAACATAAAATCCACAAATTATAGCAGGTGTATAAGTTATGCAAATATTGAAAATATGTGAATAAGACTCCTCAAAGTTTATTTTACATTGCCATGCGTAGCAATACAAACATGATAAACATCAAACAGGAACAGACACATTCCACAAGTTCAATACGATGCACTGGAGAGAGAAAGATGAAACACTGAAAAGTATTAACCTCAGTGTTTCCACCGCCAGCCATGGTATCCAGGCATGAAACAAAAACAAACATGACCTCATCGTTTTTATCTAAACAAAGATGTCCTGTTTTGGATTGTTATCTTAAAAAAGGTGACAGAAAACAGCAGAAATGTAATGCTGCCAACATAAAATCAGTGAAAGGAACAATGAGTGTTGTGTGTATGTTCTGCACTTAGGGAACTGATCTAGTGATCAGGCAGAAGATAAACATCCTTCAGTCCCCTATCCCTTTTTGCACTCTAGATGCCTGTAGATGGTATTCCTCATGTTTAATGTAGCAAGAATTGGTAATGTACCATCATAATCTCTCCAGTCTGAGCTCATCATTCCTCAGCTGATGTCATCCCACGCAGTATAGATATAATCAAGGCTCCTGTCCACAGTAATGATACGATTAGAGACATAACATAATTTGGCTTGTGGCTGTGCATAACAAGCTCAAGATATCCCATGGATCCTTAAATGCCCCATGGGAAAGATAAGTGTGAGTTTTTTTTATGTGCGTTATGTTTTCAACCCAGAAGACCCCTTGATTCTCCTGATCATCACCTATATTTCAACACATTTAATGATCAATACCAGGTACAAACATAATGATGGATACGACGGCATTTCTGTTCTGCAGAGTAGCTTTTGCCACAGAAATGAGTTGTTCCAAATGTAGTTCTGTGAGGCTTAGGGGTGTTTAATTCTACAAATATTTATCCGACTTTACCAGTGACTAACTTAAGAGAAAAAGAAAACAGACTTGGCTAAAGCTCTGAGCTGTTTTCTCAGACACCAAATCACATTTTGGCTAAAGCTGATGTCTTGTACTATTATTTCGAGCCACAGTCAATGATGTAGGCTGAGGACCGTGCACTCTACTTACTACTTCCAAACAACAAAGTGAAGGCGGGTTTGGCAAGCGAAACAAGCCAAGAAGTGAAGGCGCTGCTGCATCAACCCACTCGCTCTATCAAGTGCAACTCCAAAAGATGAATCACATAGTTCCACCATCCTGTCCAGTGAAGGATTTTTTTTTTTTTAACCTTTCATCCTCACTTGTCTGTTAACTGTGACAATACATCTCTGGAAATTACTGCTAGCAGCTGATGGATTAGTATTTCAACTACCGAATGTGTAGTGAATGGAATGGCCATCTGCCAGAACTGTCCTCTGTGCTCGTCCTCATGCTGCGTCTCTAAAGAGCTAAGAGCTTTACCACAATGGGGGGACATCTATCCCTACCAGGCACTCTGGGGTTTAAAAGGAATTAAGACAGGATAGTAAATCCATAAAGACACATATATACATCAAAACACATCTCAGTCTAGTCTGCACTGAACTGGTCCCAGATGAGTTCCCTTGCATGATGGCATTAAAGCCTCATGTGGCTACGCAATTTAAATGCTTTTCTTTCATTGTGGCACAAACTTTTATTATAAGAATCTAGAATATGTTTGTAGAATAAGTTGTGTGCACTATCCTTAAGGCATGGCTCATATTGAAAAAATTAAAACTGCTAGCCCCTCTTATCTGAGTCATCCCCACCTGCCATTACTCAGTCAACAGTATTATTTATATAAGAATCGGTTTAACCCACAGTTTTACTCTCTGCTTTACCAAATGGAACATAACATAGTGCCTATAGGACTGAGACGTGTTTATGTGTTAAACAATAGAAGAGACAAGGCTCTGTCGGATGTTAATGTGCTTTTAGTGCCATGGCTTATCCCCCTTTAGCAGAGAAATCATGCAGGCCAAATTACAGCCAAATTGATTTTCGCTTAACGACAGTGTCAGGAGTGGATGTCAAAGTAGTGATCCATTGTTCACAAGCAAACAGAGAAATGAGTAGAGAAAACCTACTGTTAAAACGGTCAACAGTTTGCGCACTGAGTGCAACAAGCAAAGAGAGAGACGGAGCGGGAGGCAGAGAAAGAAAGATGGGCGGGGGTCTGATAACTTAAATCTAAACTTTCTGCAGCGCAAATCCTGCATTCTAATTTGAAGCAAAGGAAATGAAGCATAGGCCATGTGGCTATCCGCAAATTTTACGCTTCGCTGACACAAAGCAGCTGTCTATCTTATCCCGACTGGACCTTTGTACTGTCGCGGAAAATTATTTTTTGAAAATGTTCCTATTTCATATAATTCTAAAACGAATTTGGGAAACTATGACTGATATACTCTGCGCGCAGTCTGCTAACATGTTTATTGAGACGAGCACCGGTGTCCTGAAGCCAGATACATGTGGGTTTACTTCGGTTAGCAGGATGTCCTCCAGGATGAGGTGCGCCCTGCTGAAGTACTCTTTACGCAAAATAACAATTCCTACTGTAGCTCCAGGGCGAACTGCTGCACAGTTGCCTCTGCTTTGACCTGATGGTGATCCAATCTCATGGAAATCACGGAACTGTTACACTTTAATGCGTCTCTCACTTGGTACATACCCCGCAGGACTTCCGTCGTTGCAGGTGACTGATGTATTCTCCAAAAAGTTCAGCTTCATGTCGTAGTCGAGCTTCTGCGCAGAGCACGGGTACAGGGACTGCGCGAGGTTCTTGACTTGTGTCATGAAGTTATCCATGTTCTCCTCCACGGCGGTGAAATCCAGAGGGAAGCTCTCCGTGGTGTCGCCCCGGTCGGCCCGGTACGTAGGAGGAGGTGGTGCGCGCCGCGGTTGTGGGTTGCGGCCACCCCGGAACCTCCGTGCGCAAAGCGCTCCGGACTGCATCAGCACCAGCACCAGCACTGATGAAACCATTCTAATCGCTGTCATCGTATCCTCGGGGTTAGATGCCCGTCCTTGCAGCGTTTCGTCACGGAGCCACAACCGTTTTCACAAATGGAGAGGAGAAAATAAACGACTACTACGCACAAAAAAAGACCCCACAACCTCGCCGGCCGTTCCGAAAAAGGCATACGTTTTAATGTTACTTAAAAGCACAAGTCCTCAGATCAGTCACAGTCATCCGTCAAATTCGCTGAGTATTTGAAACTTTCAAGAAGTGTGCCTATAACTCTTTACCCATCTATCCAAGAGAACTGCTGGACAAGCGCGCAAGCTTGAACGACAACACTCGTGCCATGCTCTTGTATTTTATTCAAACTTTCCCCCCTTGCGTGTCCGTCCAGCCAATCGCAGGAGCGGGGCAGGACTCGGGGCATGATCAAGCGTGGCAGACTACCCCCCTTTTTAATTTATAGAGGGGAAAAAATGCCCATGCGTTGGTTCTTTTGATCCGCGATGTTTCATTTGATCTGGTGGCTTTTATTGGCCTTAACATGCCCATTTCCCATTCCACCACAAATTTATGAGGTGAGAATACGCATTTTGTTACACACTCAAGTGGGAACAAAACACAAAAACAAATCATGATAAAAATTCTTGCAGATAATGTTTGACCAAGAAAAAATAAAATCAAGAGTGTTAATATTTCACTTGTTATTTTTAAGATAAGCAAAAGTATGATATTGTTAAGAGAGTATCATCATTAAGCCTGTGTTAAAATGCACATATTTCTTTTTAAGAATCACTTGAATACTTGCCTTCCTCGCGTTCTCTTAGGGTTTAGAAAAAGCGACTTGGACACTTGTCTTTTCTTTTCTTTCTTTCTTTCTTTTTTTTGTAAATCCAGACAGGCCTCCGAAGATCAAAGCGACCATCAGTCTTTCTCCCCCCTGAGTCTCGCCTCCTCCCTCCCTCTTCAGTCTCTTCCAAACTTTCCTGGTCTACTGTATATTTTAAGTCAAGCAGAGCATCCCGATGGGAAGCCAGCTTTTTAACACAGGAATGCCTCGTTATGGTTGAGGTAGGCTTCCCTCGAACAACCTCTCATTTAAGTTACACGGAGCCCACACAACAGAAGTAATTACTCATCAAGGTATACTCTCCATGGTGGTGTTTTTACTGATATTTGTCTCAGACTGAGCTCATTCATCACACAACAGGAAGACTAATTCTGTAAATCAGTTTAGATTTGAAAGGAATGGACATTGCCAGGATTCCTAAAGTTAATTCCACATTAAATAGCGGTTATACATATTTTTACGTCAATTGCTGTTCTTTTTGCATTTTTATGAAAAGCAAAAAGTCACTGTTACGTCAGTTTAGAAGATTAGAAGATGTTTTGCCATTTATTTATTATTGTCATATTTATCCACTACTCCCAAGTGCAATATATATTGTAATTATCTGTACAATGTTTTGTTCTGTGCAATATCCCCTCTATTTGGATTTATCACTTAATTTACCGTAGTTTGATTCCTTATATAATTATTTACATATATAATCATCCTATTTTGATATGTTTATAGCTGCTATTTCACGCTTTTTCATTTACTTTATCATCTCAATTTGTGTGTGTAACCTAATTATTCAGGCTTGCTCCACACAAAATTGCATTTACCTGTACGGTGACAATAATGTCTTGAATGTCTACAACAGCACAGATGTGAATCATGTGTCTACAGACATTGGTGTAGTTTTTGAAGAAATCACGTCGAGTGGTGACAGCTGGGACCAACCATAGAAGTCTAAATTTCGTTTGACACATTTCTGAATGGGGAGTGGGACTTCTTTGTGACTTGAAGTATGAAAATATTGATAGAAACTCAGCCCCAGCATAAATACAAAGTAAAAAATGTATCATTTAATGTAGCCCCTGTGGTTAATGAGTGTGCCTAAACCATGTTGAACTGTTCTGAGCCAGGTAAGATGGATATGAAGTCACCAGCAGAACTGATGGTATTCATTGGGAACTTCAAACAGATGCTTGCATAGATTAAAACATGTGGTAGGGCCCAGGAGGAGAGACTCTGTCACAGATTGAGTCTAGTCACTTTGACCCATACCTCCCTGTTTTATCACACGTGATCCCCAAAAATGTAACCCTTAAATCACTCACAGATGGACGCTGGCCTCTGACACACTCACTAACATGAAGAGATGCCCCGGTTGTGTGTCAAAACATCCTCTGACCCGAGTGAGTGAGAGGTGTGAGCTGCAGATGATCGCGCTTCGAGGGATCTAAATGTGTTGGTTGAGAGAGAGCACAAGGGATTCTGTGTTGAAATTATCTAACCGTGTGAGACTGGAGACGGAGATAGAAGCATTGGTTTGCTTTGCTACTGTTGGCGCACAGTGGTTTGTTCTGTCCTGTGCACCTTGTTTGAACTGAGAGTGCTAAGCCTTTCTGGCTTTCACTGGTAATTCTCCCTCTTTTTCTTTGCCTCCCATCATCTTTGTGTAGTGTAGTCACAAATTTAACCATATAAGCCCTAATGGATTAATCTTAGAATTAGGTAATTTGTATATGACCCAGCTGTTCTGATGGCAGTCCCTCAGAAGTGCCCCTATAGCCTCCACCCCAACCCCTGGCCTCCTGTGAAAGTCAAAGCCTGTCTTTCATCTCCGATCAGTTGCATGTGCCCTCACAGATCCACAGGTTTTACTGCTTAAGTCTGGGCTGGCAGCATCGATCATGTGACTGTTGCCTGCCTGGTGTTTGGACACATCATAGCTCTGCGAGCATTCACTGTCTACGTCTACCTGCCAGTTCTGCTCACACATCCCCATTGTCCGTCTCTCCATGCCTGTTAGTTTTGATTTGCACATGCTGTTGTCGAGGATCCATCCGTGATCATCAAATCCTGCTAGTTGGAACTGTTAGGTCAGGTTACATCAAAGAGATCAGGAGGGATCAGCCTCTTGAAAGGGACAGGCTCTGGCTCACATCATCAGAAACAGGTGGAGGTCCTCACTGGAAGAACAAAGGAGAGATCACCATCTATAAAACTTTTATATTTTTTATATTTTATTGAAGAGTTTCCTTAAATTCCTTTGAATTGTCACCCTCTCCTAAACAGTAAACTAAACAGCACCAGCATAAAACATACATCAGGTCAGGGACGACATTAAATCCCATAAAGGTTGCATTTGGCTTGACACTTATCGGTATTAAGCCACAGCAACTGGAGATCTATGGAGCAAAACTCAGTTGTTACAAATTATTTCCTTCAGAAGTTTTGTGTATATTGCAGTAATGACTCTCAATTTCTCCTCTGGCTAACAATTTTCTGCTGAGTTTTTCAAAAAGACCTGATATTTTGTTGTCACAAAGGAGACGCCGTTCTGCATAAAAAAAAGAAAGTGTATCTATCATTTATGATGTTTGACACTACCTCCCCTGTGAAAACATTTTCAGCCTCAGCTTCTGTTCTGTGTCAACTTGAGGCAAACCTCCGGAAACGGGTCCCCTTAATTTCATGTTGAAGCTATTGTTTAAAACCCAAAACAAACATGTACAGAGGTTCTGGGTGTTAACACACTGTGGAGTTGCTTTCATGTGCCTTCACCACATGTCCCTGATATTACCCAGAGAATCAGTAAACAACCTTGATCCTTTCTTAAGTCAAGAGGTGCCATCTTAGATGTGAATGTAAAGGGGTAGAAGAGAGAGTGCAGGAGACATCTGTCGAGCAGGCTCTCATTTCGTAAGAGCGGGGCCGTCTATTGGTTACAGATGATGCCCTGTCTGATAAAAATGAACTCTTTCAAGATAGGACAGCATGCATTAGGGGTCTCTTGGGCAACAAGGGGTAACCAAATAGTTCAGCTAACAGGTCAGCTGTTTGTTGTTGATCATTCATTTGACTGGTGGTCACAACATAGCTGCTGTGGCCTGTAAACACTTTTCTCATCATTCATAATAAGCAGGATGGATGTTTGTGTCTGTCAGGATGTGGGTACATGCATGTTATGCATGTGCAGGAATGTGTCGGTTCACAGTAGGATGAGTGAGGTGGACCTGGCTGTTTGAGGTACCCGTGTGTGTGTGTGCGGCATTGGAGTTTTCCATTCATACCTAGCGCCTGAATCACCCTTTGCAATGCCCTCTGTAAGGTAGCGACAGAGGAGGGAGCGTAGACCAATTACCATCTGAGACCTGCTATTATTATCATCAGAGAGGCGGCAGCCCTCCTTCCTGCTGCGCCCACTCTCATCTCCACACAGACAGAAGAAGAATTTAGTCTTTTTGTCTCGGAAATGTTTATTTATGCCACAGATTTGCCAAAAGACATTGAAAACTCCTTATTACAGGTCATGACAGTGGAACCACAACACATTATTCATTTTCTGTCCTTTAACCTGGAAGTCTCTATGGGGAAATTCTTTTGAAGTCCACACCCTGTTGTAAAACATGTTCATTATTCAATTATGAGAGACAGCTGTATTTGAAACTGTTCTTGAGAATATAGACTTTAAAGAAGGAATGTGAGTAGAGTTTAGAATTGCCATTTTTAAAGATTTTAGTTCTATTGTGGTTTTATAAAGAACAATAACATGAAGAATAAAGAGATGTTATACAGGGATTAAAACTATTCCCAGACTTAAGGCAGAAATATCCACTTCGTAGTCTTGGACTAGTTTTAATCCATGTCCGGGAAGTCGGCCCTCACTGTTGTGAGTACATGGTATGTGCTTCAGTCCATTGAGCCACTGGGACACCGTAAGCGCATGGTATGTGCCTCATTATTTTTGACACTCTCTTAACACCAAGCAGACGTTTTCTTTTATCCTCTCAGCAAGAAGATGAGGCTACTGTAATCGAAGAAGACAATGATCAGTGCCAGCCTCTTATCCTGGCCTGGTACCTGCTTTGATGTCATATTTTGGTGTATAGCAGGCTGTTGCCCATGCCAAAGAGCACCCATAGTCGCCAACTGTCTGACAGGCCCGCCTTTCATCAGAGTGACATCAGTGTGCTACTTGATTACTTTCCACAGGCTGATCCAGGCCTGGGAATTTTCTCCCAGTAATCCGAAATCATCTTTGCTTTTACACCCTTCGTCTCGAAATAAAAGAAACACACATCTGAGACACACATTAGCTTGTGCGTCACACATACAGTATTAGTACTTAAAGCTAACAGTACACTAACAGTACACTAACTGTCAAGTGTCATTTTGGAGAAAAAAAGAGTCTTTCTGAAGCCGAGTTCCATTTTCAGATTCTCTAATACAGTGTACTTTGCGATGCTTT